GGCCACGCATTCCTTCTATATGGATTATCAGCGGTTAGTGGTAAGAGCAGCACACTGCTTGGTTGTCCCACCCAACTTTCTTGCTAGTAGCAAGATGTATTCAGTAAGTGGCTTTTTCCCAGATGCTTGAAAAAAGTGCATCTAAGTGTCTCACGTTTGTAGGCAGATATGAGCTCCTATGCATATTTGTACATGCACAGTGTTACATTCAGACCATGGTTAACATAGAGCTTACAGAAATGTGTGCATTTACGGACAGAATTTCTGCATGTTTGCCTAGGTCAAATAACTGTGCAGCTGAATGTTAAGTCTTATGCAACCATAGACATATAAACAAATCTGTTACCGTATTCATTTTTCATTTTCAATCAATTGTTAGGGACAAATATGGAAAACTGCTACAGAGGAAATAATACATGTTTATGCAGTGCTTACATAAGGAGGGCATACGGAGGTGAGGTAAATTCTATGAAACCCTAAAAAGAAGCTATCTGAATTTAATTTCAATAGAATTGCACTTGAGTCTCTATTGTTCATTCTTGAGTTAACGGATAAGGTGAAGTATGAAGACATTAAGCAGCAACAAGCACTTTTTTAATGAAGCAGTGGCAAAAGAGATGATTGGAACATGATCCGACTGCAAAGCAATGCCACGCTTTAGATCTTAACCTAAGACTGCTCCTCTGATTAGCTATATGTGATTAGATCTGGATGTAATCCTCAGGTGTTGAGTAAGCAGTGCGTCTGAAAAGGTGCCTCCTTTCTTCCCACTGTTGAACTGGGACTTTAAATGTTGGTGGTAGCACAGAGCCACCTCCAATCCCAGTCTAGAGATGAAGCTGCTTTGCTAACCACAAGAAAATTCTTTGACACTTAGCATGTGCTTGGTTTTTGTGGGCTGTTTTTCTTTAACTTCGACAACCTTACGCTTTCAAATTACTAAAAATTCACACTGCATCTCTTGCAGGGATTTCTTCCAGAAGGTATGTTTGACCGTATTCTCACCGGGCCTGTTGTGCGGGAAGAAGTAAGCCGGAGGGGAAGGCGCCCCAAAAGTGAGATTGCTAAGGCAACAGCAGCTGCAGCTGCTGCCACTGCTGCAAGTGTATCAGTTAACCCTCTGCTCACCAACGGATTGCTTCCAGGAGTGGATCTGTCTAGTCTTCAGGCCTTACAACAAAACCTGCAAAACCTGCAGTCACTGCAAGTAACGGCAGGATTGATGGGAATGCCAGCTGGCTTAACTACTGGAGGAGAAGCTAAGAACATGGCTGCCATGTTCCCCATGCTGCTGTCAGGGATGGCTGGATTACCAAACTTGCTGGGCATGGGAGGACTTCTGACAAAGTCTACAGAATCTATTTCAGAGGATAAAAAGGGAAGTGATTTGAAAGAGGCGGATATAAAGAAAGAAAGGACAGAAGACCAAAATGCAGATACTGGTGGTGAAAACTCTGTTTCAAGCTCTCCTTCAACATCCTCTGCTGCTGCAGCTGCCAATCCTCTCTCTCTTAACCCATTACTTTTGTCCAACATACTTTATCCAGGGATGCTTCTCACTCCAGGCCTTAATCTTCATATCCCAGCTTTGTCTCAGTCTAATATTTTTGATGTACAGAACAGTGAAAGTAATGACACAGGCTCAGCCAAGCCTACGGAAGAAAAGGAGGAAAATTCTCGGGTTAGAGATCAGGAAGACAAAGGGGGAACAGAGCCAAGCTCTCACAATGAAAACAGCACAGATGAAGGTTCAGAGAAAGCAGATGCTTCATCTGGATCTGATAGTACATCGTCTTCATCTGAAGATTCAGATTCTAGTGATGAAGACTGACCCCAGACTCTGCACTTAAATTATGAACTGATTTTGAATTTATTCTTTAATTATTTCATTGTAAATAACCCAGTGTTGAGTGCATCAATGATTTACTGACCGAACATTTCAGTATTTGTTTAGAAGTGCAAACTGCTTTCAGAGACGTTTTGCATGTAATATTTCCTGAAGTTCATAAGTTTCTGAACTTGTATGTACTATCAAATACACAATGGTGTAAAATTACAACAAAAGGCATTATAATTTTGTTGGGGGGTTAATTTTATGAAAATAATGCTCAAGAAAGAGCTGTATATTTAATATATTTGCAGTGAACACAGAATACTTTATGCATATTATTGATTTAATTTGAATATAGTTTTACAGCCTCCTTGACACTTATAATTTACAGATCAAAACTCAGCAATAATTTGGGCAGCTAATGAATGTCATGAAAGCTGTAGAATCTACATCACCATCCATTGCTTTAATTACATGAAAATGCTCTAGTGTTGTGATGCACTGCTGTTTCCAATTCAGGTACAAGTGTGTTTAAAAGAAGATAAATTTTTCCCAATCAGCCAATTAAACTGGCTACCTGTTACCTCAGCTGAGTTAGTTTAGGAAGTTTACATTGGTTTCTATTACTTGTTTTCAGGTTTTGTTTTGTTTTCTAAAGACATCTTGTATATCATGTTAAAATCTGAGTTGAGATAGGACTGTTAGTGGGTTTTTTTTCCCCTCACTGTGACCTGTTCTCTTTGACAGCAGTAAGGGGAAATCAAACCAAAAATGGTCTTATCTCATGCTACTTGGCACCATGTAGATCTATTTAGTTTACACCTTGCAAAGTTTTGGGCTCCCTCTGCAGAATTAGAAGTCCCAAAATGAGGAGTAGTTGCCCCAAGACTCAGAAGAGGCAAACTGTCATAAGTGCCACTGAAAAGACCTTTCAACACTGCATACTTCATGTAAAAATTGTTTGTTTGCTTTGTTTGTGTAGATTTCTATTTGTGTTTTATGTCATAAAACCTCCTGGAGTTACCAGTTAATAATGGTAAATTAAGTATAGATAGTTTTGAACTCCTTTTGAGTTTAAACTTCTCTGCAGATTTAAATCTGACTAAATATTAAATATTACCCCAAATCATTATTGGGATATCACTTCATATGTTATGCTGAGTTACCCACTAAAAAAAAAAGCACTTTGAATAGCAAGGAAGACAAATTATTCCTAGAAACCACAGTAACAGGGCATAAGGCATCTGTTTAAGTCCAAAACCTTAAAACCCTTTACTATATAAAATCTGTCTAATATTTGATGTGTGATCTGATTCCTCCTTCTTTTTAAGCTGCTATTACTGTGACACAGTAGAGGCCCAGATTCACATTTACAGAAGTTCTGAACTGACTGAGATTTCAATTGACCCTTGTTACAGCATTTGCGATCCAAGAACAGGCAAGTGTTAAGAGAAAACAGATACAGGTACTAGTAGGAGTCATTGAAAAAGCTTTACAAAGGGATAACTTTAAAAATAAAAGCAAAACTGTATATTTTGATATAGTTCTGTTGCTTGCTTGTACAGTAAAACAACTGTGTTGTTTGTTTTTTTTTTTTCTACCAAGAACTTTACCAATGAAATCTAAGTTTGTATGTGCGAAATAACCCCACGATTAGAAGCAGTGTTACATGTAATACACAGTTTTACAAGTACCATTTGGATTGTGCCGGTTACCTCTTTTCCCAAATAGTATTCTGATTTTTGGCCCTTCATGCAGTGTCTTAGCAATAGTGAAAATTCAAAACTGCCAAGAGAAGGGGGTAGCAATTCTTCATTGTGGGGGAAAAAAAAAAGTATTGCATATTTAATACTTTGCCCTTTGTAATATAGCACTTTTATTTAACTAGGATGATCTATGAAATAGCCAAAGTTTTACAAACAGTTGTTAACTTAGTTTGCTGATGGAGCACATCAACAATACCATCACTTCCACCCTTACCCCACAAAAGAAATCTTAAATCTTGTGGCTAAAACCTAATTTATATCAGATTTATGAAATAAAGTATTTTCCTAATTATGCTCAAGTGAGTTTGGTTACCATTCTAGTGATTCTTTCTATGTAATAAGGCAATTATAGTTCCAAGTAATGAAGGCTGGTGTAGACTTGAACATAATATATTGGGTTTATTTTTCATCAGTTTGAACCAGAAGGGGAAAAATGTCCCACTGTCAGCTAGACTATATGCAAAAACGGTTGTATAAAGTTAAGGGTTATAAGGAAACCTCAGTAGAATTACACTAATGCTGAAGTTAAGATTAAAAGGATATCCAAGGTGATGATAAAGTGTGTGTTGGTAGTTACTAAAAGAACCTTAGCTGTTATTGCCTTGTATTTCTATCCCTTGTTTCAAGCTTCATGATCCAAGTCTTAGTCCAGTTTTTCTTTTGGACATTTGCAATATTTGCCAGTTGTGTTCTGTGTAGTCTGAATTTGCTTTCTGTAGTTGAACAAGCGTCTTAAAAAGTCATTTGTAATTTATTGAATTACTTTCTATGATGTTCTATAGAGCAAATGGAAGTTTAATTATTTTTTATTAAACATATTCTTTGACTACCCATGATGTCAGCCTCAATATGTAAAAGATAATGCTGTGTAAGGATTAGATATGCATCTTTGAGCAGCTAAAGTTTAGTTTCGGTGTTAAGGTCTAGAACAGAAGTTACTCGCGAGACCTTAAAAAAGTCAAGCCTAGGATGTCTATTTTTCTGCAAAACAATATGTTTTACTTTGAGTATCTTTTCTGGGAATCAGTTTCAATCAATTTCCTGTAATTCTGTTGTCTTAGAAGCAAAAGGAGCTGATGCTGCAGCTCTTGGGTAGTTGTGGCGAGGGAGTAGTGTACAGTCATGGTTCTGGTAGAATGTTGACTTGATATGAAATAATGATGCATGTAATGTTCCAGGGTAAGCATTCTGGAAGTGGACTTCCTTTTTGTGTTTTTATTTTCAAAACTCTGCTTTACTTTTTTACGTGTTTATTGAATCTAAGTTTGGGCACAGCACTTACTGTTTGTCATTTATTTCATACAGGGTGTGGATGCTTCCCCCGAATGCAGATTATCTCCTGGTTGTCATTATCTGCTGTTGTTTTCAGTACATCATTGCGCTTCAATTGTGGTATCCTTCTTACGTGTTTCTTTATAAGTCCTTCCTTTCTCAGATTTGCATGTAGGTGATAAAAATGCACGTGTGTATATGTGCCCTGTTCTTGTGTTCTTCCTCATTTATGTTCTCCTTAAAAGCCCTGCAGAATACCTAACAAAATTGTTTTTTCATTGTTTTTAGCAGGTCTATCAGACAACTGTCACAGATTTAAATATATATGTATATGATTTATTTAGTGATTTATTTAGCTGTGTGTATATATCTGTAAGTACTAGTGCAGAGGCAGCCATCCTAACAGATATGTATGTTTGCTTTGTTAACTTCTTAGGGTTTGTGCAGCTTTTTCTCCTGTGGTACAAGTAGGAAGTTTCTGCATAAGCCTTTGAGAAGAAAGAGATGATAGAGCCTGTTAAATTTCTGTTGCTTAATTAGATCAAATTTGTGAGTAGTAAATGGTAACTTCTTACTGAAGAGAGCTTTTCCTAGCTTTTAGTTAATAATAGTAATTCTAGATTTTAGCAATGTTTGAGCTATCATTTCAAGTCATAACTATTTACATAAAGGAAGGGTGTTGAAATGTATTATAACTTAGTGGTGTCAGTAAATTATATTTATTACTGCTGAAATTCTAGCCTGCTGGAAGCAGTGAATGGTATTTTGATTATTTTTAGCTCAGTATTTTAAGAACATCTAATTGAAATAAGTACGAAGCGTTAGGGAAATTTTTCCATAAAATATAGTAGAGTGAAGCCTCAAAACTGAGAAATATGTAAGTGTGAATATCTCAATTTGGAATTTGGTCTCGTAAACATGTTATGTATTCTCATGTAAAGGGTAAGTTAGCTAATATTCACATATCTTTAAAACAACAAAACCATCTGCTTAAGATTAACTGCAGCATTTCTGTTCACAAAGAAGCAGGAACACTTTTACATAAGGCAATGAAAACAATTTACTTTTTCTTAACCCTACCTCCTTTCAAGCTCTCTCAGTAGACACCACAAGAATGAAAGTAAGATCAGAATTCTCATTGCTGTTCAGGTAAGGACTCTTAGGCTATTTCTGTGTGTGAGGGAGGCTGATTTGGGAAATATTTGGGATCTTAATGTCAGATTACAGTGTTTAGTACTGGTGAAAAAGATTGAAAACCTCACAGCATGTCCTCAAGCTCATTTCAATTCTCAAAGCAACTTCAGATCTGGTAATTATTGTTATCTCTTCCGCTTTTATCCTAGTTCATCTGTTATGCTGCTGAAGTAAAGCAGGTGGTCTGAGCTTAGCTTTCTGCTCCTGTAATGGAGGGTTTCTAAATCCTAATCCCAGGAAAAAAATTGTCCATATATGCTGCTATTTATTTATTTTTTTTTAACGTAGGCAATAATTGTGACCTGAATAAATAGAAATTTTGTCTTTTCAGTGTTGTTTCTGAGAGTCATGAGGGGAAGAAGTTTTTTCCTTTTCGGATTGAAGCTGAAATCTTCACATTATCACTGGTCTTCATCCACTGAGGCTGATAGTGAAATAGCAAGTATTGGAAGATTCCTGGTAAAGTTTTGCAAGTTGGCAAAAAGGCATCAGAAGTATCAGGAGACTGCACCGGGAAGATCCCAGGGAGAATACTGGAAGAAAGGTTTCCGTGATGCATATTGTTTCTTCCTACACAAAGATTTCTGAGATTGTATAATCTTGGACCTCTCTTAATAGGACAGCGGGCTTTGGTATCTAGCCTTATCTGGGAGTCCACCTCATTTCTCAGGAGGTAAACAACATTAGCCACTCCTAGTGAAGGTGACTGAAACTTCTTATTTGGGGCCAACAGAGTTAGGGCCTGTGCTGTTACTACAGTTGTTTTGCCTCAATATTTGCTACACTTCTCGTACATTTTGGTACAAAATTTATAGCTTCTTATCCAATTACCAGGGTAGAAGTAAAATGGAATCCTGTTGTGAAAGTGATTCAAGCAATTAACATGCCAAAAAAAAAAAAAAAAAAAAAAAAAAACCAAAAAAAACCAAACTATTGCTTTCATCTTTCACGTTGTGTACTCAAGACACCAGTGGTGTTCACAGTTCTTGTTGCCATTGGTGCTCCCAGCTGTGTGACAATGTGTCAAATCCTCAAGCTAGAGCCTTGTTCTTTCTTATTCCCCCTCTCTGAAACATTGATTATTGTTGGTTTTGGAATGGTGGTAGTAGAAAGGCCAACAGGCATTGTCAGTGACTCAGTACAGTGTCTGAGGGGTGTCTGTATTCCAAGTACCCGCTGAGGGCTGACCCAGCCCTTCAGGTGCTTCTGGGGACAGCCCTGCTGTTGGGTGTTTGCTGTAGGAGCTGTGCTGTGTTCTTTGGGAGCTGCCATCACTGCGGCCCTACACGTGCATCTTCCCGTGCAGCTGTTTGCTTTCGCACTACTCGGACGTTTTTCAAGCTGCTGTTCTTATTTGGTGGTCTGAACTTGTACAACTCAAATACATGTCGCTTGCTTTTATTTCAAATGTGGTGTGTCGTGTGCTTGTTCACTAGCACTGTTCTGTTATGCTCACTGATTTCGTGCGGTAATTCTGCCCCGTATTCTGGTCTCACGGCTGTGCCCTGGGCTCCCGCTGCCCCGCTACCTTCCCCGGCCCCGCCGCCATTCCGCGTCCCGCGCTGCTGACGCCGCCGTGTTGACGCTGCAGGCCGCGGCGCACCCTGGGATCGGGGTCATAGGTCGCGCCGTCGCGGAGTCGTGATGTCGCGTGAGCGCGCTGCGCCTGCGCAAGGCCGCAAAGCGGACGGGTCAGGCTTCTTCTCGCCATCCAATCAGAGGCGGCGGCTCGGCGGAGGGCGGGGGCGTGGCTCGGCGCCGGGGTGTTTGGATTCGAACGCGCGTCGAGAGCCCCAGGGGCGGCGGCGCAGGCGCAGTGAGCGGCGGGCGCGCTGCCCCCTAGCGCCGGGGCGCGGGATGTCGGGCGGGGAGGAGGCCGAGGCCGAGCCGGGGGCCGGAGGGGCGATCCCCGCCGCCCCGTCCCCGCCGGCAGAGGAAGGGGACACGCGGCAGCGCTACGAGGAACTCTGCAGCAGCCTCAACATGGACGAGCGCGCCCGCTCCGAGGCCTGGCTCAGCTACCAGAGCATGAAGCGCAACTACACGCTAGAGGTGCGCGCGGGGCCGGGCGGCGGGGCTGAGGGCGGGGGGCGGCATCACCTCACAGCGCTGAGGGAGCGCGGCCCGCCGTGCGTATGGGTGGGGAGGAGGGGGTCGGGGTAACAGCCTCGTGCCGCCACGCGCGGCCGCTGAGGGGCAGCAGGGCGGGGCGGCGGGGCGGGGCGGGAGCGTGAGGCGGCCGATGGGGGAGCGCCGGGATGGCGTTGTTCCTCAGTGCGAGGGTCGGGTCGGGCACGGCTCGGTTGGGATCGGCTCGTGCGGTCAGCCGCCGAGCTGAGCGACCGTTGTGTGTGAGAGAGAAACGTGGGAACCGTGCTTGTGCCGTCCCACAGACGAGGGCAGAAGGACGTTTAGATGAAATGGAGCGGTGGCTGTCGTTATTTACGTCTTCTCTATACACCGAACTGGTACAGAGCCCCGTCACCTCACGGCGGATCCGTGGGGCAGGGGGGTCATTTCCTGCCTACCTCACTGCTCTCACTGCTGCTTGGCGCCGTGCCGACCTCTGGGTGCTCTTCTGGTAGCTGAAAGCACGGCACAGCTGTAAGGATTTCAGAACAAAAATGGTGCTGCTCGTGCAGCGCATCCCATCTGTGGCACTGTCTCCATGTCTTGGTGCAGGCTGCAGAGCTGTAGGTGCCGGCAGCTCGGAGGGGGCTTGACGTGCATTGCGTTCTGCTTCACAGGGCAATGAGCTGCACTGGTTGGCGTGTGCCCTCTACGTGGCCTGTAGGAAAGCCATCCCGACCGTCAGCAGGGGGACGGTTGAGGGTAATTACGTATCCCTGACCCGCATTTTGCGCTGCTCCGAACAAAGGTAACTCAGTTCAGCCAATTTAAAGCACCTTGAAGAATGTAGAAATTAAGAACAAAGTCCAGATGTCCTTGTTAGAGATAGAATTTATACTGCAGGGATCTGTGTGCTGTAGCTCATTGCCACACAGGTAGGGTAGTTTTTTATTTATGAGTTCTAAAATTCATAGAATCACAGAATAGTAAAGTTACAAAGGGCCTACAAGATCATCTTGTCCATCCGTCCTCCCATCACCATTGCTACCACAGGCCTCTAACCTGTATCTCGTAGCTCTGCACCCAGACACCTCTTGAACAGGGATGGCGACTCCACCACCTCCCTGGGCAGCCATTCCAGTGTCTGACCAATCTCTGAGAGAAAAATTGGAGAGTTCCTGTGCTCGAAAGTGAGAGAAGGTGACCCATGAAGAACAGTCTGCTTCTAAAGAGTGTACAAAGTGTGGGTTTCTCATGTGGATAGATGCTTTTAATTGGTTCTGAAAATGTGATATTTCTCATTTTGGTGAGAAGATTTCACTTTTTGTCCTTTAGTCTTTTATGGAACAAAAGTAATGCTGGATTCTGATGACCTTCTATCAAATGATTGATTGCTGTGGGCAGCCTGGTCTGGTGGTTGGCAACCCTGCACGTAGCAGGGGGGCTGAAACTAGATGATCATTGTGGTCCTTTTCAACCCAAGCCATTCTATGATTCTATGATTTTTTCCATTGAATGATGAAGAAAAACTTCCTGAAACTGATGACAGCAGTATGGTTGTGTGGTAGCAATTCATCAGATTGTCAGAAACTGGAATGTTCATATGAACATGGAGTTCTCTTCCCCTTACTGTTGGAGTGCTGCTGTTTGTTGAAACAATCTAAAGAGTTACTTTTAAAATATTTCTTTGCTAATTGGAGGTTCAAGGAACTGAGTACAGCGGAACAGTTTCTGCATTTTGGGTTACGAAACACTGATAAAGTTGAAAAAAATATGGGTAGAAAAGTAGTGAAAAGCAGTGTAAGCCAACTTTACACGTTGTTGGTACACTTCCTTTGTTTTTTCACACTTTGCAGAGTCTTTTTAGTGTTCGGCAGAGTTCAGATTTTGTTTCACTTAAGTTACTTATTCAGGAATCTGACTTTATAGTAACCGGGCTGCTGGAGAGCTGGTTGTGTCCTTGTGAGGAAAGCCAAGAACCACAACATAGAGTTAACGCAGTCATCAGCAGGGCCTGGCAGCGTGCTGTGAGTTGTCTCAGCTCTTGTTTGTAAATGAGGAGCTGGCTCTGAGCACTTAAAACTGTTACTGTCATGTTTGCAATGTTGCTTTTATCAGTAGTTTGGAAAGTATAAGTTGTACTTTTGCTGTAAGTAAATATACATAGAGCATGTTTCTGCAAAACAAAGTGAAAACAGAAGCAAACAGCCAACCCTCTGAGAACTAATCTGTTTGATATCTTCAGCTTGATTGAGTTTTTTAACAAGATGAAGAAATGGGAAGACATGGCAAACCTACCCTCCCAGTTCCGAGAAAGGACTGAAAGACTGGAGAGAAACTTTACAGTCTCTGCAGTAATTTTTAAGAAGTATGAGCCCATTTTTCAGGACATGTTCAGATACCCTCAGGAAGATCCACCCCGTCAACAGAGAGGAAGAAAACAGAGGTATGGTTCTGTTATTGACAGACTGATGTTTGACCATTGCTGTTACAAAAACATGATGAAGTTGTTTGGTTGTTTTAATTGTATTTTAACTTATTTTCATAGTAGTTCTTTATGGTACCAGAGGTTGGGCCTTGCTTACAGTGATTTTGGAATCTTGTTTCTGGTCTGTCAGATCTGACAGGGTGCACGAAGCCCCGAAGCTGGTAAGCTTCTGTGATCCGGGGAGAAAGATAAAAGGGAGAAATGAAAATCAGCCCTTAGGTGAAAGAAATGCTATTGTAGGGAGGAAAAGGCTGAAAGAATCAGATCCCTTTATGATCTGTACAGCCTCAGTAGAATGGCTTAGCATGGTGACCTGCCTATTAATTCCTCTACTTTTCTTTATAGAGACAGATCTTATGCATATTTTACTTTGTAGTTGTAGCTTTATTTCTCTGTTTCTCAGTTTCTTACCGTGTTTTCTTTTTGGCTTGATTGTTTTTGTGAGCATAACATGGTGGCAGTTGTAACCGATATTGAGTTGCAGATATATTGAGATGAGCACACGATGTTGAAATTATAGCACATGTGCAGTTCTGCAGCTAGAAGAGTAAGCTCTGCAAGTTTGTTTGGATAGCAAAGTGTGAATTTATTTTGAAGATTAAGTCAGAGGGTAATTCCAAGTTTTTGTGTGAACTGTGCATGCTTTTAACATGTAACACGTAACCTGATGGAGTAACCAAAGAAATGAGTTCAGGCTGACAGAACTACTGCCGAAATTGAGATCATGACCTTGCTGTGAGTGAATTTGGCCTGAATGAAAGAAGAATTTCCAGCTTTGGTATATAGTGCTAAATAAAATAAATAATACTAAAAACAGAATTATGGAGCAAATGGTGCTTCTAGAAACAGAGAAAACCCAATAAAGACTGTTTGCATCGTGCAAACTTTTAGCTTTGAGGCTCGCACCTGTCTTATGGTCTAAACTGGTAGTGAGAATTAAAATAGAACTAATTCTAGAAGGACTGTGATCATACCGGATAAAACATATCTGCTGCCACCTTCTTGTTCATACGTACTGTCTGGAGGCTGGGATGTGGTATGTGAGATAGCACTTCAGGTATGTGCTACATGGAAACAAGCAGGGGTGTTGAACAAAAAGGGGTGCTAGAGAAGGGTGGGGGCTGTTGCTTGTTTTTTAAATGTTCCTTGCAGTAAGTATGTACTGCAAATGAGTAAAATAATACTAGTTTAGATGAGTTGATTACTGTGCCAGGATTTTCCTGTTTCCAAGTGCAGTGGCTGAACTTACTAGCCAGAATTATGAAGTTAAATGTTTAGGATGGGTGCTGAGGAAAACTGGTGTAAGTAGCAGAACTAAGAAGTAAATAGCCCCGGATCAGTACAGAACTCCTGATGGACAGAGGGAAGGGCCTCATGAATGGCACTCAAAACTAGTAGAACTTAATGTTGGTAAACCCCTGTATTTCAGAATTCTCCATAGTATGTAAAATTGTGCGGGGAAAAACACTTTACCAAAGTATGTAGGTGAAGTCTGTGAGCAAACAGCCTGTTAATGCCAGCATGCTGTGTAACAAATGCCTTGCAGAACATACACACGTGCTTACATTGCTCAGAAGACTTCAGAAGGCATTCTGAGTGTGGTGCTCTGTGGGTGTCATGATGTCTGAATCGCGTGCTGGCTGAGGCTGGGGTTTCCGCTGTGCCTGCTGTAAAGCTCTGAGCAGCCATGGTGTTCCTTCAGTCAGGTTTTTGGTTTTGTTTTTTGGGGGGAGGGCCATGGTTTTAGCTGCTCTATGGCAAAGCTGGACTTTCTTTCAGAATGCTGGAATGTCTGTCATAATTCACTGAGCTTTTGTGTCTTCTTGCTGTGTTCTTCCCCAAAAGGCGAC